TGATGCTTTTTTGTTTAACAGCAGCGCATACAGTGAGATTCTCCTCCATCTGGCAATTTTTCTGTTGCTCTTGACCAATGCTGCATTGTCTGTGTTGCTCAACTAACTGCATTTCGTCCCTCAAAAAATATCACCGGAAGAGCCGATTTTGATCTGGGCAACTTTTTTTGCGGTAAGCGGGGCCGAGCGCAGTTGGGGGCGGGGGGGAACGAAAGCGGGTAATATAACTTTTATCATTTTATAAGTTACCTTCCAGCGCTTATTCAAACACTTTTTTCAGTCGTGTGATTCGCTGATCAAGGAATTTCGCGCCCAGCAAAGGTAACAACAATTCGTTCCCGTTTGAATATTCCTTGTTTAGAAATCACATGCACTGCATTTTTGCTCATTCTGAGCTCGCTGCAAAAATACATCATATACTAAGAAAAACAGCACTTGAAGATTTGGGACACTTAATATATACATTTTTTTAATCACAGGGAGATCCCGGAGAGAAGGGAGGGGTGTCCCAGCGGCATAGGCACCAGTGCTGCAAAAGCCCGGGTCTGTTCATAAATAAAACTAAAGTAACTCTAAATAGCAGTGTTACAACTCCATCCCTAGTTTTTGCGTGCTTCCAGGGTGGGATGGGGCTATCCCCTCCCCTCCCAGGAGTCCGTTCTGAATCCGTCTATGCTTTTAACAGAGAAAATCAGAAGGGTAGAGCGTAGATTAGCCCACGGGAAGAAATTACAGGTGCGATATGTTGCTTGCTTTGCGGACAATCAGTCACGTCATTAAGTAGTTCTGGCAAACGGAACACTTTTGCCTGGCGGCTTCCTGTGAACCGTTGCATATGCGTTAAAAATACAAACGATGGGTGAATTTTGCGAAACTTTTTATTTTTGGGCAAAAAAATAGCATGTGAATTTTATTCGACTCGCAGGCCCTTCATATCAGTTATGGCAAATTTCCCACAAAAAACTCCTATAATATCAAAAATCTTTGTCGCAAGGAAACTTTGACGAATTCAAAAATAGGCTGCCTCATGTGCCAACGAATTTTGAAAGCGCGCCAAACGATTAAAAAATTGCATTGTTATTTGGTCTTCGAAAAAATGGCTGTAAATTTCGTCTGGAATCTTTTTAGGTTGTGAAATTAGACTTCTAAGTTGTCAGAGTGAACTTACTTGGTTGTTCTTTATCATCGGCTTGAAGGTTATCCAGATCGGCTTGTAGATTACGAAGAAATTTAACTTGTAAGTTAGGAAATTTTGAATGCATTCGTACACTTCCTCAGATTACCATTTAATTTATAAGGCGATAGAAAAGGGGCTGTTCAAAAAAACAGCCTTTTTCGGCATTCTTCCCCGGGTTAAACATTCGTACTGATGCTGATGGTAAGAAATGTATACGCTTAAGTTCACAATACCAAATAGCGGATGCATTACAGAGAGAAATGGGAAAACAAACGGCGCGCATTATGGAAAGAGTTGATGCATCCGGGCTCCAAAGGTGCTGCTCCTGCTGCTGCTGAATCAAAGGAAAACTCGTCCACTCCACCTGCTGCAGATTGCGCGGTAAATCGTAGCTGTGAGACCCCGGACAGCACCCATTCTGCACAAACTGCTTGCACTGTAACAACACGTTCCCGAAAACGACCCGCTTCTTGCACCGCAGATTTGGCAGAGAAATACAGCATCACATTTTCGAATGAAAACGAAGATGATGATAATGATGAAAGTCCACCGACACAAAGTTTGTTGCATTTCTTTTTTCGCTTTTAATAATAGAATAAAAAATAAATAACAAAGCGCACCAGACTAGCCGGTGCGATCATGCGTTTTGTGCAATTCAGCCCATCGAACGATTGC